CCGATTTATGTTTTTGTGCAAAGAAAGTGACCACGCCCAATTTTGCGCCCATTTTTTTGATTTATCTAAAATCTTAATTTTTGCCCAAATCAAGGAGATATCTGTTCCACAGTTAGTATACGACGGAATCTTGACTCTCCAACCCTCCCCCCAACCCTAGATATATATATATATATATATATATATATATATATATATATATATATATATATATATATATATATATATATATATATATATATATATATATATATATATATATATATATATATATATATATATATATATATATATATATATATATATATATATATACATATATATTTACAAAAAAAAAAAAAAAATATATATATATATATATACATATAGAATATCCTTAGCTTTACATTAGCTATTTTTCTGTAATGTATTTGGTCCATTCAAACAACAAAACCGAACTTTAATCAAATATTTTTATTAGGATTGAATACAATCGTCAATGGTTATGATTTTACAATTGTTAGGCTACAGGTTTTTTAAATAATGAATCCTGTGTTTTGATTTTCGATCTATATTTCGATTGGAATCTTTAATCATTTTGAAGGAACTACAATTAAAGGTTTTAAAAGAAAGAACAGTGTTGGCATGTTTGTTCGTAGTATTTTGTTGTTTCAAAATAGTCAGGCTTAATCCCATTATTGTTGTTTTTATAAAAACAACGTTTGTTTATTAGTGGAGAAAGATGGTAATGTTAACCAGGGGGTAAGGCAAGTAATGTTAACCTAGGTTTCGGAAAGAGCAACCAATCCTCATCAGTTCCCTCGATTTTTGTCTGTGATATTCTCCCCAGGAGTTATTTTCTGGTCAGGCAACGCCCGTTCAAAGCCATTGTTTCTGTGGGAAACACTTTATCACAGCCTGTTTCAGTTAATATATCTGATACAACTGAGACCGTGCGTGAACAATCCTATGCCAGTGTTGTGACACGTCCAGTCCCGGTAATTAACTTGGATGTACGGAAAGTGGTGAATAATCCTGAGGTTATGAGTAATGATAGTGTGGTTACTGAAAAAATTCACAATCCATTCAAGATGGTTAGGTATCTTCCTACATCTGACGTTTAACTGACACCTATCGTTAGTTCTTGTCATTAAAATTGTATTTGCGTCCAAGTTTGCATCGGAAACAGTGGCTGATGATATGATTTATTATATAAATTCAAAAATAGAGTAAGATTATTTTTTGAGATTTTATAAGTCTCAATCTTCATTTTCTGAAATTATAACTTCCTTCATAATTGTAGTGCTTGAAAATGTTTATTAAAATTAATTTTAAAAGAATTTTGGCCTGCCAGGACATACATTAAAGAATTTTTGGAGAAATCTGATAATTTAGCTCATTTGCCTCTAAGATCAGATTCATTGTTAAAAAAATGATAATCCTCTTTCTATTTGTTATCAGACTGTAAGGGGTTTAACACAAACTTAGCCCGCTTATATTTCGACAACATTGGTTTACTATGTCCAGCGTCGTAGTTGAACCTTTCGGTTCAACGTTTTTTTTATAAAGGGTGTCCAATTGTGAAATCTGAATAGTAAAATAATACCAAGTATTTTCTTGCATAGAATTGAAAAAAAATGATGTGGAGGACATGTGGATTCAACAGAATAGCGACATATTTTATACAATCCAAGAAACAATTCAATCACTGCATTAGTCATTTCACGGTCGTGTTATTTCGCGTTCTGGATACCTAGATCGTGCGATTAAACACTTGTAGATTTTTTTCTTTTGGGGGTTTTGAAGTCGATGCTTTACGCGAATGAGCCGACGACGGCTCAAGCCTTAAGAGGAAATTGAACGCTGTACTAATAAAATACCGCAGCATTTATGCAAAATGTCAGCAGCCAGCAAATCTTGTTACGGCCATCTTGTTACATTACCTCATTCTGTCTACTTTGCGATATAATAAAGTTTCACGATTTTTTCAATATCTGTGTCCACCTTAAAATTTTAGATTCGTTCCAACATTTGGTGTTAGGCCTTTTTGGTAGTTAAAATGCACAACTTGTTCAGTTTGATATAATTCATACATCGTCCAAAAATTTTCAGACTTTCAAGTTTTTCATTTTTCGGAAAGAATAATACGAAAATGATTGCCATTTACACCAAATAGTTTTCAAAATCTTTATTTTTTTTGTTGAGAAGTATATGTAAAACCATTGCACAATGGACCCACATCTAATTTGTATTTCAACCTCTCCATATGTAAACCCTAGAAACCAACAGTGACCTAAATATCAAATTTCAGTATTCAAGCCTTATCCACTCACTCAGGGGCAAAGTTAGTACTATTTAGTAATTTTCGAACAATCATAGTATGGCTTCCATATCAAGTTTCAGGATTTCAGCTCTATCCTTTTCTTTTCGTACAGTGAAAGTACGCATTTTTATAACAATCTTCTTACAGGGTGAGATAAAAAAAACTGCAACAAAGTCCAACGCCATAACTTTTACATTTTTTTATTTTATTGAGTGAAAGCAAAAAATGTCGGAAATATCATCAAACTTTAGAATAAGTTTAGATTTGTTCAAATTGGTCACTTAGGCACGAATTATGGCCTTCAAACGGCCAATGAAACCGTCACACGCTGCCCGAATGTTGCTCTGCGGTATTTTGGCCCATTCCCGACGAAGCTCTTGCTTGAGGTGATCAACGCTTTGGTATTTTTTAGTGCCAACCTTGCTTTCCAAAATACTCCAGACACAATAGTCCAACGGATTGGTATCCGGATTTTTTGTGGCCATTGTGCGCTGGAAATGGAGCAAGGAACCTCATTTTGTAACCATTCTTGGGTGGCGCGTGCTGAGTCCTGTTGGAATGTCCAAAGTCTGCGAGCAAAATGTTTGCGTGTCCAAGGGTTTAATACACCCTCCAGAATATTTTCGCGATAATATTCGGCATTTATTCTGATGCCACGGTCGATTAATACGAGCGGTGTAAGTTCTTGCAATTTTTTGACATTTTCAACGGCTTTACCCCGAGCTCATTTTTCAATATTTGCCGAATGGAATATTGCGATATGTTCGGCCACTGCGACGCGGGTTTCGACCAAGTCGCTTCTTTACTTTTCGAATCATTAGTTTTTTGTTGCTGTTTTCTTCCGTCCACTTCCTTGACGTCGGGCTACGCTACCAGTATCACGGTAACGGGCGATGGTATGAGACACAAAAGATTTATTCACATTTAAATGCTGGGGTGCTCTAAGGATAGCCACTTGTTTATTTTTCAGCCAAATATAAAGGAATCACACTATCACGCTTGAATTCCATCACGAACAAATTTTTAGAAATGACAGCAGTCTGAAGTAGGTTGCAGTTTTTCATCTCAACCTGTATAGATTCTATTCTAGGATTCTTTTCAAAAAATCTTCAATAACAATAATATAATTATAATAACAGCAGACAAACGCAACAAGACGGTAATAATGTACATGGAGGAAAACTCATGCAAAGTAAAAAAAACTATAAGATGATAAAATGACGTATAAACTAATAAGAACTGGTCCAACAATGAAACCCCAAAGAACAAGCAATAATAAAAACGAAAAGGAAAATAATAGATTAATTTCTCATTCCGCTTAGCTCCTGGACTATATGGACTACACAAAACATACAAAGAACATTTACCGCTTCGACCAATTTCGTCCTCAACTAAAGTCCCATGTTATTACTTATCCCAATACATTGGAATCATTTTAAAAAATATAATATCTTCGGAATGATACACCATTGATACACTCTCAAGTCTTCCAATTCAAGAAAAAATACATAAACACCAAAGAAGACAAGGACAACATTAAACACCAATATTCAGTTGCAATTATTTAAAAACGTTCAGTTCTGTGATATAAGATTAAGTTTTTCTGTAATATTTTTATTATACATTTTTAATTATTTTTAAATTAAATAAATTATACCAAATCTATGTTTGTTTCTAAAATATGATCCTAACTGTTCAATCTTCAAATTCAATCCAATGATTGATTTTGAAAATATTTTTCAATACAATAACTTAAAAAAATTGTAATCCGCTTATAGAGCTACTTTATCCTTATATCACGCAGAGAAAAAATATAGTTGAACATTTTCACTGCAATCACTAAATATTTGCTACAATCATACAATTGTTCCCTCAAACATGTTTTTATTGGTTTCAACCACATTATTATTTCCACAATAAAAACCTGATCAATATTTTGTAGGAAAAATGTTTTTCATTAAAAAATCTGCAGTATGGTTGCTTTGAACAATCATACAATTATCAGAGGAACTATTTAATAGTTTCTGATACAATGATTGTTTGCATTAATAAAGTATTTTATGGTAACATACCATTTACATAGTTGTAAGCAATAATACTATGGTCGATTTTTTTTATCCATAATGTAATTATCAGAATCTTACTAACATTAAACATGACATGATTATATGGAATAATAACATTGTCATTTCGTATGTTGCTGTAAAGCTCCCACTATGCTTTCTTCAGTTTATATTCGGCAACGTTCGAAGTCGTTCGTACCAGTTTATAAATAAACGGGTATTGTGAAATAAAAGTGTTTGTCATAGTTTTTAGTTTAATTTTTACATGTGTCATCCTACACTTTAATGTAATATATACATATATTAGTTTAAGAAAATCTAAATTATAGAAATTCAGAAAATTTTTTGCATTTCTTGCAAAATGTCTGATTTTCTATTAAATATCCCGACAATGTAAACGTATAGCTATTCGTATTTATATTTTGTGTATGCGTTGGAATGCAATAAAATCATTTTTGAAATTAATAACGATATTTTTATGGCAACCATGTTATGTTTGTTGTCAACAAATAATTCTGCATTTTCAAACATTCATGCATACATACGCATTTCTTGATGAGAGTCCCGTTATTTTTTTTTTTTTTGCTTGCAAAAAAAGAACAGAATTTACGTCAGTTGTTCTGTTCTGTTTGTGCGAGAAAGTTGTGCGTTTAACAAAATCAATAAATGAAAGGTTTAAAATTTATAAAAACAATTTTTGGTGACAAAAAAGAAATTATTTGTGTTACATTTGACTGAGATAACATTTACCAATTGTTCCTAGATGAAGGTAAATATAAGAAATTTGATAAAACAAACACAAATGTGCAAGCAATTTTTATGTTTATTTATGTAATTATGTTTGTTTGTTTTTATTGCAGTTCGTAAAAGCTACAGTTTAAGAGATGTTAATGTAGACGTACTCTCTAAAGGTTTCAAGATAAAACCAAGCCATTTTTCGGATTTTGTTAAACAGTTTATTGGATCTACTGATTTTGTTCTAGACATTAAGCTGCCAAGTAAGTATTAGTTAAAAGAATCAAATTTATTTTTAATTGTAGAATTTTATATTTTCTTAATTCTAATTTTCTCAGGTATTGACGTTTGTGTATCCAATACGGACTCTGCATTTGAAAGTGAATCTATAGATTCGCCATCAGCAGAACATTTCGCAGCTGCTCATCAAGCAATATCCTGCATATTTCCTTAGGAAATTAGCGCCATCCCTGATATTAACCAATTCTTAAATGTTAAAACATTGGAAAATAAGGACCGCATTAAAAGGCTTTAATGGAATTTATTCTAAATAAAACCCCAAACAGACAGTATGTATGTATGTTTCTGTATCTAAAGAAAATAAGTTATTTTTGAATTGATTTGACGTACAATGTATGTATATTATATAATAAAATAAAATATATTTTAAATAAATAATGCATTTTATTCACAGGTACTTTAATGCATGTAACCATATTAGGTTTACCTGTATTATAACATGGTTAGACAGTATGGTTACATTGAACTATAACATGGTTATTTTTTAGCCATAGCATGATTGTTTATCTACCATAATATTATTAACTAGGACCATACTATGATTATTTTGAAAAATATTATGTTTATATTGGAACCACAGTATGGTTTCCCATGACCATGGTATGATTAGTTGAAGAACAATAAATGGTTAGGAACAACCATTACATGGTTAGTTGGGGACCATAGTGTTTTTGAAAGAGAACAATAATTATTTTTACGGTGACCATTGTATTGTTAAAATTTTAAATTTTATGCCAAAAATGTTATGTACGTTGCTTCAACCAAGTACTATGTTTGCTGCAGCCATATCCCTACCATAACATTATGCTCTTCGAATATAGTTGCTGCAACCATAATCCTTCTCTGCGTGATAGTACCGTGCTAACTACCTATTTGCTTTTTTGAATGTATCAATTGCTTAAGTAATATGTCTTTCACTTCTTATTTTTTACTTTTGTTACAGACTTTTTAATACTTTTACAGTAAGTACCCATTCTCTTTTAGTTTTTTATAATGCTGCTTAAAATGAAACACCATAACTCTTTAATGACACTATGGGTGTTTAAAACATTGGAGAAGCACAGTCACAGTCCTTATCTTGTAAAAAAATAAAGAAAGTGTCGTCCAATTTTGAAATAGATCCCAATATTTAAGATAGATCTTCGAAAGTAACATATACGTATACATATTTCCTATACCTGATTAGGTATAGCCTCATATAAGACCACCACCTGGCACTCGTCTATTAGCGAACGAGGTAGCTCTAATATTCAGTTTTTTAATCTTTTCTGGCAATACTCGTAATTTGGTTCATCGACGTAATCAGTAATTCCTTTCGCAACAATTTCAGGGAATCCAACAACAACGAACATCATCAAGTATTTTGATGATTGGAAAAAAAGTTTCCAATCAAATTAGTATTTCGTTTCAGTTCTTAGAAGATATAAATGCACTGTTTGTTATGATACTCATATAGTGGTATCCTTTGTGATATCCGGAACTTCACTAATCTCAATTCCTAATTCCAAACAAATGGGATGTAATTAAGCATTTTGGTTTCTTATTGGAAAAAATTTATCCATAAGAAAATAGAAGAACCACGTTTTAATCTATATATAGATATGTTGGTCGTATTAGGATTTGTCACAACTACCACCGACTTGTGCACTAATTAGATTTTTTCACTTTTCCAACTTAAATTAAAAAAATAATAAAGCTATAGAGATATGTAGAAAATGATTTTAAAATGAAAGTTTGACCCTTTCCTTTTTATCGATATGCATAATATAATAAATTGAGCTGCGCTCACAAAATAAAATGATAAACAAAGAAGTCTGGTTTAAATCATGTTTACATTAGATAAAATCTCTATTATTGGAAAACAGAACAGAACAATTGTGTGACACATTATTCAAATCTACATCAGCGGGCTGCAATGAGTACGAATTAAAGGCCTGCACAAGACGAATTGTATGAATTATGCTTTTTTCGACACACTGACTTTGTCTACTCAATCATGCGCTATGTATTTGATAGGCAATGACAACCAACAACATCCCCCATTTTAATTCATGTGTGCCATTGTCTAAGGTTCGATCGTGGCATGGCTGACTCGAATATTTGCATGGTGTTCTCCATAAATGCAAGGTGTCAACGATGACATCGAACCGTGTCATCGTCAAATTGTGTGTCATTTGTGTACGTGCGCTTAAATTGAGAGAGTGTGTGTGTTACTTTCGACGGTGAGGATGTGTTTTTGTGTGCGCTGTAATTTTGAAGTAACAAACACCGCGTAAATATAAAATTGAGTTCAATAACAAAATGTGCATAGACATCAACAAATGAATAGAAAAAATGAAATATTTACTGAACAATCCCAATTTATTGGTGATTATCATAAAATTTTGGTCATAAAAAAGAGGTATTGTTTGCCTATTTTCTATCTACATAAAGTGTTCTTTTAAAATTAAAGTTTGTGGGCAGAGATTTGACTCTCATTCAATAACAGAATATGCACAGAATTGAACAATTGAAGTATACAGTGTTGTTACGTGATTTACAGTAGCACTCATTCTCATTTACACCTCAATACCGGAGGCAAACATTTATGAAATTATAATAAAAATAAGAAAAATTTTCAGGGGATTATTGTTTTGTAATAAGGATTAACATTTTAGATTGTTTCGTCAATAACCACGAAATGTGAAAATTTTGTGTGAACCAATTAGAAGTGCTTTTAATATTTTAGTTTTCGCCAAAAAAATTTTTATTACAAAAAATTTATTTTTTCACATATCGGAAAAGCAGGTAGCGATTGCGCTTTGCCTTCATCACGTGTGTGTCTTTTTCGTTGGCAATTGTTTCATAATTGTTGTTGTTTTTTTGATAGAACATTTTTGTATGACACACTATTCAACATTTCCTTTTATTGGTCATTACACGTTATGACGATGGGTTTGAGTGTGACCGACATGACGAGACATCGAGCATTTGGTTGGATGTCACGTACTGTTATGCGTTTGATCAAACAGGACACAACATGACGAGCGTTTTCTCTCCATGGCATAAATAGAGAAAATTGTCACATTTGCAGCCCTTTAGTACGAACGAATAAATCACACTGGATCTCTTACATGATTTTTTGTTGATGCAGTCGTATGGTGTGATCTGAATGAAAATATCATGTCATCGTATTGAATCGCACACTCTATTTGAAGCACTTCACTTGTAATCAAACATGAGGTTTGAAGCGTTTGATTTAATGAGTTAATCGAACACCTGAATTAAAGTGAGCAATCACAACTGTGATTTGTTTCTTTCTGTTTACAATTTGTATCAATTTATTTAATGGGCCTTTTAGTTATTAAATGCTTAGTAAAATTAAAAATCATGATTTCGTTCAAGTTTGATCATTTGTGTTTTAATCAAATCACCCACTTTACAAAGAAGAATCAAACTGATAGATGATTGCCCTTTATGAATAATTCAATTTTAGTTCGTAAACAAATCATTCATATGAGCTGTTCGATTGCGAACACATAGCTTTGGTCAATTAGATATTATATCTGATCAGCTGATTGAGTTAGATTTTATTTCCACTAAGTGTGATCAAGCCTACCCAATCATACTCATTGCAGCCCTCTGATCGACATATTTTGTTCATTGCATGTTATGACGATGAGTTTGAGTCTGACCGACATGACGAGACATCGAACATTTGGTTGGATGTTTGGCACTGTTGTGCGTATGGTCAAACAAAGTATAACGCGAACGTTTTCCCTAAATGCCATGAATACAAAAATATGTCGCATTTGCAGCTCTCAATTTCACTTGGAAAAACACATCACAAACAATTAGATTTTGTATGCACATATCTATTGATCGGTTACACATAGTCTTCAAATTTGATATGTGTAACGGTACAAAAGAAATTTGCCAAATCGTTTTGACAACGGTCCGGATTTGTATATAGCTCCCATATGTAATTTCGGACGATTTGATGCACCAAATGCGCTATGTGTGTCAAATTTCAATGAAATTTGGAAAGTTTAGAATTAAACTTGCCTAATAATATTGAAACCGGTTTAGATTTGGGCGTGGTCTGCAAAAATGTGTACATTTACCGCACTTAAAGAAAGCGTGCGAATTTACTGCAATTGAAGGACTTGCGACCCGACACCACACTGTTATACATTTGTGAATTTTTTTGTAACAGACAAAAAGATGAAAAGGTGATCTTCAGAGAGTCACATTCTGAATCAATTTATCTGTCAGGTATTTTTTTGAACAATATACAAGTCGCATTTATTGCTCGACTGTGATAATTTATTAGGCCCAAGGAAGAGCCCTATTGAAATTGCTAATTATAGTTCCAGATTTAGTTGCGTAATATAATCCAAAATTTAAAAAAAAAATCTAGAAAATACGACCAAATTTAACCCATAAGTATGCTGAATAGAAACAACGAATAAAAGAGAAAGAAAAAAGAAGACAATAAATAGAAAATCAGTCATTTTTTCTCAATTTAGTAAATGTATAGATCCAGACAAAGCCATAACATATTTAGTGACTTTAACTCATATGTGTATTTAATTAATGAAAAAACTCTATCCATTCAATCACATGTTCTTTATTTTCACAGCCACACACTTGTGACTATGTAAATACCAGCTTTCGAAAATAAACAGTATGGTACTGTACCGTTCCTAGGTGGAGTGGTACACTAAGATAATGCACCGTACCGGAGCACAACCCTTAAAAAAAATTAGTGATACTGTACCGGGGCACAACGAGAATCGTACTGTACCGCAGTCGGAGCACTAAAAAACGTAGTGTACCGCACTCGGATCACTACGAAATCGTAGTGTTCCGCAGTCGGAGCACTACAAAATCGTAGTGTATCGCATGGCGGAACATTAAAAAAATAATATACCTGTAGTGTAACACATATGTGTTGTTTACGATTTGTGAGAAAATTTAGATGTTTGATGTTTTTGATAATGCAAAAATTACTAATACAATTTAATTTTATGAAAATAAAAGCTGAATTTATTTTATTTGTAACGTGTGTTTAGATTGGTTGCGAAAGAAATAAAAGGACCAAATCTGAAGTGATAATAATTTATATTTAACCATTGAAAATCGAAATTTTTAATTTTCTGCGAAAAAGGGTATTTTAGTGGCAAAGTGGAAAGTGAAAGTGACCACGCCCAATTTTGCGCCCATTTTTTTGATTTATCTAAAATCTTAATTTTTGCCCAAATCAAGGAGATATCTGTTCCACAGTTAGTATACGACGGAATCTTGACTCTCCAACCCTCCCCCCAAC